AACCCTAACCATTCTATGATTCTATTAAATAAATCTGAAGCTCTAATTTGTTACAGTTTGTAGACAGCCCAAAATGTCTAATCTTCCCAGAAATCTAATCTAAATTCTAATATTAAATTATTCCCTTTTTTGGACACAGATTTTTAGTGAATGACAAACATGAAGGATTAACATGAAATGTGGATTTCTGAATAATTTTAAAAGGACAGTTTAATGTTTTGACAAGATTTTATTGTGAAACATTGGATTTAGAAAAGGTACAAAATGTCAACGGTCAGATGTGTGCCAGTACAGTATTTCAATAGTCTATACATGTGGACAGCTGAATAGCTTCACTGCAGAATGCGCATTTAGACATACTATCTACAAGGGGGCCGCAATATTCACAGGCTTAAAATACATAAATAACTTGAGTCAAAATGGCCATCACTGGTCAATGCTAATCAACATCTGGAAACAGGCTAAAAAGCACGATACAGTACAACAATCTCCTTTCAGATCCACATTTAAAGAACATCAGTTTATTATGTCAATAATCTACAGCTCCAGGACACTATTTTCAGGACTGGGATTCAGTTGGCTAGTTTACAACTTTAAAAAATTAATGTTAAAAATGAGATTATGGAAGAAAACCCACAGGTATTTAATTAGAACGAAACACTGTGAAGCCCCTAAAAATACTTCGGACTGGGATTTATAAAGTCAATTATTTCTAATATAGAACTTAATTTTGCTCCTTTAAAATGTCCTTACTGCAGCTTGAACAGATCATTAAGTGATTTTAATTGAAACTTTTCAATTTGCTATGCTTTTCTGTGTTTTAAAACAAATTTCAGCAAACCTGGGTCTCCATTCAACTGGAAAAAAAAAAGTATCAAAATACTAACTCTGAATTAATGAAAGTCATAAATTCGTATGTTAAAAACAGTTAATAACGTCTCCAAAGGATAGCAGCATTCTCTACCCTAGTTTAGCAAGTTTAAAGAAGAACATTTATAAACATACAAAGTTGATTTTAGGGTATAAAAATACACTTATACCATGCGAAACAAGATAGCTTTTTTAAAAAATTCTTCAGTAGTCTGTCACTGTTGGAACTTGTTTGACTGAAAAGGTGTTCGTGATTCAGTACATGGGTGGACAGCCAAGGAACTTTAGATTTTAGTTCTTTAATTAAAGGTGTCTAGCTTATATATACACAACTAAGCTTACTGAAATATAAGCAGTTACCCTGTTACAAATCAGTACCCAGCACTGAACTAAGCATTTACTTACACAAGTCTGCTTCACTTTACACTGATTCGTAACTCGCCTTCCTGAACAGAGACCTTGGCATACACTAAATTATGTTTAACAGAAATTTCTGAATATGACTGATGTCCATTAGGAGCAGAGTTAAACTTAAACTGATGTAATTTAGAATAAAAATCTACCCAAAATATTAAAACAACCCACCTTTGACACCATATCCATTCCTGTAATTAATTTCAAGACCATTAGTTTTGTCTACTCTTTTCTCATTGTTTACCTTTACTGGGGGATGAGAATCGTTCAATTTATTACGAAGAATTACCATAAATTACAACTAAGTACATTAAATCAGACAATAGGGAATAATTTTTTTTTAAACTTTGAGTGTGTATCACTAATTAAGGATGTAACATGGGCAGTACAATGTCTGCCATGGAATTAAAATTAGCGCTGTGCCAAATGGGAAAAACATATAAACAAACCACTAAACTCCAGCGTGGCAAAAAACATTTAGTTTTTTGTTGAGGAAGTGTTTGGCATGAGCAGCACTAACAAAAGTCTACACCTCACAGACACAAGCTACAAAGCTTATCTAAAGCCAATACTCACTGTCCATCAATTAGCTAGCTCTTGGTGCTGCTTCAAGCACTGCACTAGCCACTTTGATCTTTGTTTCAGATTCCTCTGTACACACATTTATATTTACATAAAACATTTATTGAACATGATTTTAAAACATAAAAACCTTATGTACAAAATACCAACATCCCTATAAATAAACAGTTGGAGAAAGGCACTTGCAAGAAAAATCTACAGTAAATCTTACAAAAACCACACTGCCTCTGTTACTGTACAATAGATAATCTTTCGGTAAATCCCTATCACAAGAATGTAAAACACTAATTACTTGTTATAACTAAGAATATAACCGTTACCGTTGTATTTACACATACATATATGCCTTTTTTTTAGTTTCACTTGAGAGCACCATAACTTCCATTCTAAATTTATCTTTTGATACAAAGTAAAAGAACAGTTGCCAGAAACCAGTGTTCAGTGTCACCGCAGATTCATAAACTTTTGGCTGACATCAGTGTAGTAGTTTAAAAGACTTGGTTGCTGCTTTGTAAAAAGTACACCTAGCTTGTTATTGCATGTTGTCCTTTTAGAGAGAGCATTGCTATGTTCTCTATGCAATTGTTTAATACTATTGCTGGCAAAAAGTTTCCAATATCAAAAAAATAAAAACATTCTTCAAGCCAGTTGAAGTATTTTATCTGAACAGTAACTAAAAAAAGCTGCATATTAATTATAAAAACTTGTAGGAAACATGCCAACTAATCTGGTGTGCAAAAATATTTCTTCTGCTACACAGGATTTTAAGGGCTTCACAGAATTACTCAAATTTACATTGAGTAGCAAACCCCGTGAATAACCACTTCCTCAAGGAGACGTTAGTATACTCCCACTTTTATCAAACTTTTTACCCTTTGACAATGCTGCAACCTGTTTGAGCAGTTCTCTGTTTTTGGCCTGCAATACAGATAAAAACAAGTTTTATGAATTACTGAAATATCCCAGATAGTAGTGTCATGCACTAATTTCCCATTGCATTTATGAAACAAATTCTCAAAACGTACATGCTGAGAATATTCAAAGAAGATAATGATCACTTTTCAAAGACTGGTATATTATTTTTGCTATGCATATTGCATCTTTAACAGAAAAGGTAACTACATTTCCTGTATTGCAAAATTTAGTACTTGAGGTATTGCACCGAGTATCTGTTCAGTCTGTGATTCGTAAGGCAGCTAATTCAGGCTTTCTTCTTGATAAAGTATGCTTTAATAAGAGACATTTAACTGTCAATTGTGTTGAGCAGTTAAATCAGATCAATAGCACACCGACAACTGATTAAGTCAGAGACCAGACAAAAAAAATCGTAACCTTTGAGAAGGCATGAGAGGTAAGCCTCTCAAAGTTAGAAAGCAACTCCCACAGTGAGTTTAATTTATATGGAGATTGTCTGTTGACTGCAGAACAGCTGTAAAATGCGTCCAAAGTTGAACGTGGTAATGATCATTCAAGTACCTGGTACTATTTCATTGCTGCAAGTTAACAGCCTGAATACGTAATTCCATCTTAGGTATTTCTCAAGTATTGATAAGTAATTACTCACCTGCAACTGTTCCACAGTTTCCTTGTGAGCTTTCTCCATACTGTTCATCTTCGTCCTCAAGTTAGACTCCTGGTACTGGAAGTCTGCCTTCAGTTCTGTCAACTGAAAAAGACAAATTCTATGAAGATTCCTTGGACTGCTACAGTATACATCTTCTAATCAGTCTGTAAAATCTTTACGGAAGCCCCAGGAATCTCAGGAAACTCTACATTTATTTACTATTGTACTATTGACAGCTCAGCACTGAAGAAGTAGCTTGAAAAGTATGTCTATTTCATACGTAGAAAACAACTGTACTGATATAACCATATTATTTGCTCAGGATTTGGTATAAAGAAGGTTAATCGTCAGAAAAAATAAAAGACTAATGATTTATAATCTTAGTTGCTCCTTCAGCTGTCAGATACTTATCACAATCTTCAGTTATGTCTCTTCAGTTATATGGTATGGTAATATATTAAAAATCTTCCATAGAAAGACAACAGAAAGACAATTGTGTCCTTTTATGCTACAATTTGTCCTAAACAGAAGTAGAAATTCCAGAGCTTCACTGCTTCTCGATCCACAACAATGGTGAATTAAACTGTATTATTAGAAACACGTAATTAAAATGACTTAAATTACGATTTAATTTCAAGTGGACGGTATACAAGTGCTGCCACTGGGTCTCTCCCAAGACAGGCAGAGATCCAGATGACATACACTAAGGCAGGTGTTTCTGAACTGTGACATATGCTTCTGTCCAAGCAGCTGAATGCTTCTTCTGGAAGCATGTGCGGCTGGGTGAACTACTAACATTTTGTTGTATATGGACCCAGAAGTTTTAGGAAACACTTTAAAAAATTGAGTTGTTCAAAGCATCCTAGATTCACCTGGCTATTTTGAACCTCTTTGGTCAATTTGGATTTATCGGGAAATGAAGCCTCTCTGCTAGCAAAGCAGCCCGCTGTAAGAAACCAAACCATACATTCCTAAAACGACTGACAAGACTGCTATTACAACCTGAGTATGGATCAAATCACACGTAGCGAAACAAGGTATTCAAAAGAACTGTCAACCAAATGGCACTAAATAAGCTGCAGGTATCTTGATACACGGATATACACCTCACTGTACACAGACTGCTGCTCAAGGTATATACTTGCAGCTCTTGTAAATTCCAGGGGATCCAGTACAAAACCACATATCACAAACTAAATATAAAAAAACCCAGTGGCAGTATTGCACCACAGTAAAGTATGCAACTAGATGAGCAAACAACACTACCTGTGAACATTCAGCAAATTGGGGTCCCTTTCTAATGATTAAGTCTCAGGACCCCATGGTAATGTCTTAGTGTCTCACTAACATTTTGTCCGGAAAATGAAACAAGGCTAGTACTGTAAACAGTAAGCACTGGTAAATGACATGGCTGAGATCTTGACTCATAACAAAAAATTATGAATGAGGATTGTCTGTAAAGCTGGTCTACTGAGTTGTTCTTGTTGCCATACGCTATACATTTCAGAGGGTTTTCTTTTGGAGCACTCCGAACTGTTCAAATGCTGTTCCAACACAAAACTTGGGACCAGATCTCAACAGCAAGCTCCCACAGGTCTGGCTCAGGCTTTTATCCCAGTACATGTCTTTACTATCTCACAGTCAAAAAAATCTGCAGTGCATTCATTTGTTGTAAACTTTTTGGCTACACAAACACTGTACGATGCGTCCAGATTTTCTCCGCGCCTCCAGCTTTTCTCTGCGCCTCCAGCAGCTGAAGAAAGTAAGCGACATTCTGAAAGTGAGTAATTCATGCCTCAAGGAGTCTTTAAGTTCCAAGAACTCCGAGGTCAAATAAATAGTTTAAGCAGTGGGGATATTAAAATTATTAGATGCTTTCCATATGGAAACAGCATAAAACAGGTTACTGCCATTGTCATGCAGAAGTAGGTGACACTTCCTGACCTAACCCTCCTTTTGTTAGCTTTGTCCAGTAGATCAAATACAAAAATAGGTTAAGTGAATTTCTTACTGTCTCTGATCTTCTGCTGGTTATAAGGGAGAGATCAGGCCCTTAATGTCTGTCCTTCGAAGAACTACCTAAAGAGAATCCACGATAGACTCTTCAGCTCTTTCACATTAACTACTTAAAAGCTTGAAACAGCAACTACTTCCAACACAAGGTGTATTATAAGAGGGATATAAATGAAGAAAAGGTTCAGTATCCTTTACACAACACATTTAAGTGCAGAAACGTAGATACTGAACCATGGTTTAAAAGTGGAAGCATTTTCCTCCCAGGATTGATGAGCCTTTCTTCACCATCAATGTTTTGATAGGCCACCATGCACCTATAATCAAAATTTTACTTGAAAATATAGTAACTGTAATTATTTTTAGTACAGTTCCATAACCTACCCAATCCTGAACAGACATTCTAGAGTCACCATTACAGTGTCTTAAAAGCATCTAACTCATGGCAGAGAAATAAGCTTTAAGAAAGTCACAGCAAAGTAGATACTTGTAGATACTTCTCTTTTCTTGTTAATCATTAGGCTGTTAGAAGGAAGAGTCAATCTCTTCTATGAGTTTCATTGCAGTCATTTGGGCCTGACTATTTTGCTTAACTTTTGTTGACTGACAGGCATCTAACCCATGCTCTTCTAGTCTTGAACGATACACAGACTTGATAACCTGCACTACACACATGCTACCAATGTTCTAAAATCAAAACACTTCATTTTCATACACTGTACTTGCAAATTGGGACACCAACTCATGATTATGGCTATAGCTGCTTTAGTTTAAAACTAAACAAAACCTATGCTAAACTCAGAATGGTTACTACTCTCAATTCTCCTCTTATCTTGTGTGCCCATCAACCCATGGGATCTTTGGCATGCCTCAGTTTAAAACAGGTAAAACCTATGCTAAACTCAGAATGGTTACTACTCTCAATTCTCCTCTTATCTTGTGTGCCCATCAACCCATGTAGGTATCTGGGATCTTTGGCATGCCTCAGTTTAAAGCAGGTAAAACATACAGACCACTGTCTGGCATTTTATCCATCAGCTGTGGCACGCAGACTGAGTAACAGTGAAACAGATGGCTAGTTTTAGATGGCTGAAGTGATATAAGATGAATTCCTCTTTGAATTAGAGCCAAGAGATATTCATGATACAAAAGTCCCAAAGTTATCTTTTAAGTGGGAAGATCTGATTAACTGCTATATAAAAAAAAGTATCAGATTTTTGTTTTATATCACCACTTTGACATTGTTGGGAGTCTACAAAACAGAAAACAAAGTTCTTATTAAGTGGGTGCAACTTTTACCTTTTTATCTTTTTCTAAAATAGTCTGATCTCTTTGCTGCAGAAGACGTTTAAGTGACATTACTTCTTCTTTCAGCTGACTTATGAGGACAAAGTTGTCAGTTCCCCCACTGTCTGCTGACTGATTTATAGAGCTACTAAAAATAAAAAACAATAGTTACTCACAACATCAATAGGAAAAAACAGTAACTTTTTTAAAAGATCAAATTGGGTAATTAATAATTCCACAAACATCCTTAAGGACTAATGCAAAAAAAGTATGTACCTGACAGAAATGGATGCAACTGGCAAATTACCTTACTAATGGCACACATTACATACACCTGCAGAAATATAATTAAGTATTAGCTTTCAGGGGGAAAAATACCCTTTGACTGAAGCAGCCACTTTTATTTCAACTGTTTGGCCAGAGACAGAATAAAGATTCAGTCTCACACATTAAGGTCCAAAAGACTTCTCTAGATACTAGGTCAGCCTAAAGCAGCAGGTTCAACCCTGCATCTAATTGACAAAACACCCATCTTAAGAAATACTGTTTTGTTGATAACTGTTGCCTTGTACATAAGCTTTATTTAATTTCACCCCTAACAGCTTAACAGCAGGAACACAGTGCCAGATTTCTGCTCATGAAGTCACTTAGTTGACTGACAGCACTCAGATGCCACCCAATAATCTCTCTGGCTGGACAATAGTTTCACCTCCCTCATCCTTCAGACTGGAGAAAAAAAAAAAGAAAAAAAAAAGAAGCAACTGGCCACAAATCAGTGCTCTATTTGGTTGAAATGGCTCAGCTTTACAAAAATGTAACTTTACCTATCTCCATTTGATGGCTTGGATTCCAGTTTGGGTTTTTTCTTTGGAGTTTCATTCTGAATAGCTGCAGAGGATTTATGGCTGAAATCAAACAAAATGTAAACCTAAAGCCTCATACTATATAACTCTCTAATATAACCATTCGGTACATGTAAAATAACTAACTCATGCTCCTAGCTGGAATGCTAGAGACTAGCCAGAAATGCAAGGAAAAATGTCCTTTAAATGAAAACTGCAAGATAAATTAAAAGGAAATTCATAAATAGCATATTTACCTCTGTTTCCATAGTCCCTGATCTTGTTCTGGACTCAGACTGCTGATTCTGAAATATGTGAAATATATTTGGTAACTGATCAAACACGCCACTATTTCTAAGTTTATGTGAATGGTATCTGTATTTGAGAAAAATCCCCCCCCTCTTTTTTTTTTTTTTAATAAAAAATGACCGATTACAAATTTTCAGTTGGACAGTCATATTTTCTGTCATTTTTGTGATCACTCTTTACCATGTTGGGATGCTATAAAAATATTTCTTAGGTAAATGTTTACACTAATGTAAGACACAAAGGGTAAACCTTTTTTCTGGCATCTCCCAAGTTTGGTGAATTTTATATTGCTAATCCTGTACTCAGCAAGACAGTCTAAAAGAGCATTCCTGGGACTCCCATACTGTAATATGAACATTGCCTAAAGTGGTGCTTATGTGATGGCGTAACAGCAACGCTAAGTTTTGGTTCTCTGAAAATAACTCCTTTTCAGGTCTAAAGATTTGTTTTCAATACTTTCAAAAGCCATTTTAACAAACACCACTGATCTAGGAATAGTAAAATGTAGAAGATCGCACTAAATGAAATAGTTCAATTAATCTGTATTTCTACCTCACTGTTTCAACTGTGTCATCTTAACAATAACTGGAATGGATAGGGAAGAGTCATATTTATTGAACCAGAAGCAATGGACCCATGGCAGCCTACAGAAAAAAAGGTGCCAAACTGGGAACATTGTGATCTGTATAGAAATATGCTTACTTTTGTAACTCTTGAGTATATTATAAGCTCTACTCTGTAGTAAAGAGCTAACTTTTTAATTTAATCCTTACTATATCTCTGCCACATGCATCAAATTAGATTTAGCTTGTTGTAACTTGATTTTCAGCAGAGATTTGAGAGAACAGGTACAGTACAATGACTCTCTGCATGACAAGAATAATTTTCTTTTTCTAATTCCTAAAAAAAACCCCTAAATCATCTTTTTTTTTTTTTTTTTTTTTTTAAGTGAAAGTATGTATGGAGTATTCCTCTCATTCACAGTATCATTCCAGCTTATTTTGCCTCTATCTTTAAGTCATACTTAGGAAATTTTCAGCCAAAATGGAAAATTATAAGAACTGGAAAAGTGAAGCTTAGAATTACAGTGTATGTCTGGGTTCAAGGTCATTACCATTGTAGCACTATCCAACACAAAAATATGTAAGGAGTTCTAAAGTTACGCTGCCGTAAGCCTACCAATGAAAATAAGAATTATGACTACTATTATACCAGCATAAGAAACAAATCTGTTCCAGGATTTATAATTACATAAACTAGTATGTACAATAAAGTTGGTATGCTGCTTATTGCATGGCCAGAGAGGGCATGCTGAGAAAAGTTGAAGAACATGGGACAAAACTGTGTGAACTGTTACCAGACTGCCAGGAACTGAACTGACAGTGTTATTTTCCTATGTCTTTATGACAGCCACTCACAAACTGCCTCTTCCAGCAGGATTTGAGTATAAAAACTAGCAAAGAGACGCAACCTGCTCTTAGACTGAGGGTGATTCCACACTCTTGCTTCTGCTTCTCCATCTAACTGCAAGTATGTGCACACATACAAGTCAGGATGAAGTAAGTCAGGGTGAGGATTCTGAGCTAAGTAGGTGTTCTGTGCCCACTGCTAATACACCTTTTAACTCATGGTAAATGCATGTAAAATATCAGTTATCACACAGCAGTTACTGCTTAGAAAGCCAAATTCAAGTGTAACCCTAAGTAATGTACTCTGTAGCCATTCTGTGGGTTTCTTTTCTAGACTTGCTACCAATTTTAACATCAACTAGTTTGATGATCCCCAATAATTTTTGCTGACCGCCTTTCATCTAAACCGTAAGAATACCAGGATTTTGACAGACCACAGAAGAACAACATTCTGCTTTTGATGCCATATTTTAAACAGCATTTCTTATGTGCTTTGATTTGATCTCACTACTAACAGAACACAGAAAAGGTACCAACAGCTACTTGAATTTTTGACATACTTACTTATGATGACCGCTGCTGTGACGATGATGATGGTGGTGATGGTGGTGGTGTTTTGAATGATGCTGGTCTTTCTCAGTAAGAGAAGAAGATGAGGAGTTAGAATGTGAAGATCCTAGGCTCTTCCTCTGTTCTTTTGTCTTCTGTAGCACTCTCTTGTAGGACAGCGTGCAGAGCCAACACAACAACTTTCCATCAACCTTTTGGGAAATAATTTATAGCAGGGTTTTTTTTTCCAAGTATACTTGCACTAGGAAGATGTACTTCAATATTTGCAAGTAAAATTTGTTTCAGTTCATCTGTTATCTCTGGGAAAAATCCAGATATCTCTTTGGTATGAAACAGCACTACCATATCTCCAAGGTACACACATTATCTTCTTTTTCCATTTCTTTTTGTCATTTAAAGTTAGGATAGAAAGCAGTCGTAGCAAATGTTGGACTTGCTCTGTCACAAGAAGTGACAAGAACTTTTTAAAAGGGACAAGTAATATTTATTTCAGACACCATGTACCCTCTCTCAACCCATTGTATCAGGCAGAATCAACATGTCCAGCCAATGTGTTACTTGTACCAAGCAGATTTTTCTGTAAAAACAGCATTATTCTTGGGTTCAGGCAAGAGGCTTTTGAGGTAATTTCCTCAGCACCCTCTGGAATGAGAAAGTAGCACTCACCAAAGCTATTTAAGAAAGTGCTGCTCAAAGCAGTCTGCCTCTCTGGTGCTGTACTTTAAGGCAAGGCAGGCAAATCAGAAGACGTAAAGTGACAAATTCAAGTTACAGACATACATAAGATCCAATGGATGGGAAAATAAAAATTTAAAAAAAAAAAAAAATCAAAGCACCAGGAACTGTTCAGCTCCTTAACCTCTGTTCCCCAGGTACAATTCTCAGCTTACGCTTAAGCTTATTTTTAAAGAGAGTGATTTAATTTAAAGTAGCTCAGTAGCTAACAATTGCAAGTTGCAAAATTTAATCCAAATATTACTGTAAAGCACAGCAACTTTAATCCAATACTAGTGAACTTAAGGTACATCCCTGTTAATCTTTCTCTTATGAAGGAGGAACATTGTTGTCAGCCTAAGCCACTACAGCTGTGGAACAAATCTTACCTTCCTTCTTCCCTCCTCTTTTCTATCGAAAGCACACTGCTGTTTGCACTGTTCACATGTCTGAGGTGGGCCGTACTTCTTCTCGGAGTTGGTGCAACGTTGACATTTTGTGCCAATAAATGCTGCAATAATGTTACAATACTGACAAGGCTTGGGCTGAAAAACAGGTAAATTGAACTGAAGTTAATACATCTACAGTTTCTGTAATGAACACAGGTATTTCAAATCATACAATGATGCTTCTAAACTACTAGGGCTTCATAAAACTGATCTTAAGGTACCTTTTTCCTATAATTTCCATCTTCAGTACTAAACTGCTCCCCTAAAATGATACTCCTTCAATGGTCAAAAACAGTCTGGACTTTGCATGAAAACGCAGCTACATACTCAATGAAAGAAACACACACAGTGTGACACAAACGTAGAGCTGTCTGAGACGTACCTCTGTCCCTGCCTCTTCTTAAGTTTTTTTTAATACTATGACATTTCCTCTCTGTTTTACTACATTACTAAAGAAATTACTTTTAAAACTTTAGAAAAGTAATCAAGTCATTTTTTAGACTTGAAGTTCTGAAAACATCCCTCTCCCTTGCACTAAGGAATTTGATAACCCCACAAGCTCCAAGATTAGTATCCTGATACCTGCAATTCCTCAGGAAACTTAAAAAAACCCAGAAAAAACAAACAACTTCAGATACCATCAAGTTAGGTCACCAACTTCTATATCATACACTCAACTAGAAATTTTCCACTGCTGGAAAATAAAACTGGTGTCAGTTTGCATAGGTTAGACATGGCTGGTTATCTTCAATGCAGTTCCTTTTTTTGACGAACTACTACTCATAAAAAACATTGTTGAATCTGTCTTGCACTTCATTTCACTACATATTAAGCTTTTGAAAGAACATCCTTTGTTCAGTGTACATTTACATTCACAAGGTGCCTGCCTACATACCAGCAGCTGTTATGTTTCTCAAATAAGCTGAATTTAATCTAATATGGTTTGTGCCAAGCATATAGAAGTTACCCACTTTTGGTTCACAGCAAGGTTACCTTGATACCTTCTATAAGCTAGTATCGGCAGGGCGCTCAGTGTGTGTATTCACATATTAAAAAAATAATTTCTCTAACAGAACTGAAGCTGAAATTCAAGATGAGAAAATGCAAAGTAACACGCATACAGACAATACTCATATTTTCTACTTAATAGCTTAACGTGATTAACATGCATTTTAAAATTTTATGATTTACATAATAGAAAGTATGTGGTATTATTAGATTTTCACATTTACCACTCATTAAAAACACAAACAGCTCACGGTCTTTCTGCCATCAAGTGTGTGTTTATGAGAATATGCAAAAAATTACTTCACATGCATAAACTGAAATAACATTACTTTTACTATGAATAGCTAGATTACATTTATTCGTAACTGTTAAGCTACTTAGAATCACAATGGATTTCAATTTAAAAAAGAAACTGTAAGGCATGAAAAAAATCAAGAAAAAACGGAAAGGAAAAAAAAAAACAAAGCCCTGCCATAATTTCCATCTTTATGAAAGGTAATATTTATTTTTTTTTCCCTAAAAGAAAATAAGAAGTTTAGTTGCAAGAGAACTTTTTTTCATTTAAAACGTGAATGAACTTAAACTTCAACATTCAGAACTAAGAGCCCACTCACCGTTCCAAACTGCTTCACGTTTTGGGCACACTTCTTGCATATCGTATTCGTTTTGCTAAAGATAAAATCGCATAACGTTGAATTCAGCCACAAACACACCCCCT